ATGACACGCACCAGCCAATCAGGCGTGAGTATGCAAATTAATTAAAGATTTTTTTTTTGTTAATTTGCATATGCAGGTGCCGCTGCAGGGGGGGGCAGGACCCTGTGTCATGGCGTGGTGACGATGCAGGTGTTCCACACAGCTCTAGCCGCTCTGGGCCTCTGGGCAGCGTGGGAAGGCGGAAAGGTGGCTCTAACAGGAGCAAAGGCAGTGTCAGCAGCCAGGGAAAGGAAGGCCCGTTCTTGCATAAATCTTTATTCTTTGGGCCTCTAGTACTTCTAATAATCAGTTAAAATGATGGAAAATTGCCAAACCTTTTTAATATTAATAAGAACCATGTAAAAATTAACATAAAAGTAGAATTTTATGAGGGAAAACTTTATTAAATCACATAAATGAAGACCTAAAGAAGTAAAGAGACATGTCATTTTCATGGATGGGACATTCTAACATAATGAAAAAAATCAATTTCCCCCATATCCAAATGACATAACCGAAATGTCCCAACAAAAGCATAGCAGAATTTGGGGAAAAACTGACAAGTTGATTCCAAAATGTCCATGGAAACAAGGACCTTGAGTGTCTTAGACAATTTTGATAAAGAAGAGAATATTAAAAAGCTACAGCAATTAAAACAATATGATGCTGAAAAAATAACTGAATTATCCATAGACAAATCCATCCATATAGGGAGCCTGGTGTGAAAATCCTTGGAGATAAATGGAATATTTGGTCATTGGTATTAAAAAGATCAAGTTATTATTTGGAGGGGGGAAAAAGTTGTATCCTTACACTGAGTAGAAAGATTCTAGATCAATACAGACCTCAACACGAGAAGAAAGCAATCACACCAATGCCAGCCCGGGGATTCTCATACACAGACAGACAGATGCAAGGCTGAGCTTTTACCCAAAATCACTCGTCTGAAAAAGAGGAACTAGCCTTGTATAGAAGTCCTTAGGGTTTTTCTTTCCAAATTAAGGCCATTTTGTCCCAGCTATTCAGAGAAGATACAGCATCCTAAAATAATCTCAATTAATAAATTCACTAGAAGGATTAGAATAAAGTTGCTTTATAAAGTGTGAGAGTAGAAACAGCAATATGTCTACATTAATATAATACATTAGAAAATGTGACTAAATTTGTGAGTTGGTAATTGAATAAAGGTAGTTTGAATATTTGACTATTTCCTTATAACTTCTATATTCTTAAAATTTCATGTATTAAAATTTGTTCAAAAATCTTTTAAGATATTCTCACTGAGATGCAACTTAAAATGGCAATGAGGTAACACCTCACACTTGTCAGAATGGCTACCATCAACAAATCAACAAATGACAAGTGCTGGGGAGGATGTGGAGAAAAAGGAACCCTCACTCAGTACTGGTTGGAATGCAGACTGGTGCAGCCACTGTGGAGAACAGTATGGAGTTTCTCAAAAAATTAAATATGTAACTGCCATTTGGCCCAGGGATCCCACTTCTAGGAATATATCTTAAGAAACCTAGAACACCAATCAGAAAGAATGTATGCATCCCTATGTTCATAGCAGCACAATTTACCATAGCTAAGATCTGGAAACAGCCCAAGTGCCCATCAGTAGTAGATGGTACATTTACACCAGGGAACACTCTGCAGCAATAAAAAAGAAGGATCTCTTACCCTGTGAGACAGCATGGAGGGGTTTGGAGAGTATCGTGCTAAGTAAAATAAGCCAGTCAGAGAAAGACAAGTATCACACAATCTCAGTAATATCTGGAATCTAATGAACAAAATAAACTGATGAAAAAAGTGGATCCAGAGACATAGAAGCATGGATCAACCAAAGACCTTGTGTGCACATATATATGCATACCCCATGGACACAGACAATGGGGTGGTAAAGGCCTGGGATGGGGGTTGGGGGTGAGCTAGAAGGGGTCAGTGAGGGAAAACAGAGGGACATCTGTAATACTTTCAATAATGAAAATAAACTTTAAAAAGATAAAAACTGCATTTTCTTGTGAGTTTGTAGGGATTTCTAATATACACTGAGTGACCAGATTGTTATGCCCACCCCATCAGTACTTCGTCGAGCCACCTTTTGCCTTCAATACTGCGGCGATTCTTCTTGGCATTGACTCCACGAGATGCTGAAAGGTGATTCGGGGAATCTGACACCATGCCTGATGAATAGCACTGTCCAGTTCTGTGAGGTTTGACGGCTGTGGAACCAGCTGCCTAATGGCTCTTTTACCTTCGTCCCACAAATACTCAATTGGATTGAGACCTGGTGATTGTGGGGCCACCTAAGCAAGGTAAAGTCTCCCTCATGTTCTTGAAGCCACTCCTGCACAATACAAGCACTGTGGCATGGAGCATTGTCTTGTTGGAAGAAGCCATCTCATTGGGATACATCATAAACATGATAGGATGAACTTGACCATCAATGATATTTAGGTATGTTGTGCTATTCAGACGTTGTTCCACACGAATTAAAGGGCCCAAATCATGCCAGGAAACATGCCTCAAACCATAACACTGCCCCCACCAGCTTGAAGGGTTGTACTCATGCATGTGGGGTGCGTGCTTTCATGCTGTTTCCGAGAAATTCTCACTCTGCCATCTGCATGATGCAACTGGAAACGTGATTCATCGGACCACATGACTTTTTCCCCAATGCTTGACTGTCCAGTCCTTGTGTTCCTGTGTGAATTGGAGACATTTTATCTTGGTAACTGCAGACAGCAAAGGTGTTCGAACAGGCCTTCGGCTTCCATATCCCATATGATGCAGTGGACAGCTAATTGGCCTACAAACATCAGGTGGTCATAATAATCTGGCCACTCAGTGTATTTTATGTAGTAATCTTTTTTATTTTTTAATATAATCTTATGTCAGTATAAATATTGCAATTGCCTTCTTCCATTTGCAGCTCATCAGTTAGCACAGATTCCCTCCTGAATAGATTTAATGTTGGCCTTTAGAAACCTTATGGTTTAAGCTTTTATGCTCTTAAGAAGTCCCTGACCGGTGCCAGGGATCGAGCCTTCAACCGAAGTACATGCTCTTGACCCTGGCCAGAATCAAACCCAGACCCTCAATCTGTGGGCCGATGCTCTAATCACTGAGAAAACCGCCTAAAGCAGTGGTATTTTTTATTAGAAGCAGGACCCAGAGTAGAGAGGTCTTGAGTGCTTCTCCCCCCACCCTTTTTTTTTCTGACTCCAATGCTGAGTATTTTAAGAAATGGTCTAACAGACAAAAAAAAGGGGGGGGGGGGGAAAGAGATGGTCTAATAGAATATTTGATCAAAAAGTGCTAACCCAAGCCCATTATATTACAACTGAGGAACTTGAGGCCCAGAGAGGGTATGTGGTTTGTCTAAGGTCACACAGCATAACAAAAGCAGCTTCAAGGCTTGACTGCTGGAATTTCCCCATAAGTTGGGAAATAGATAGAAATCAGGAAGGCGTAGATAACAATGAAAGACAGATGTTGAACGTAAAGTGAAAAGAAAAACATCTCAAAAGGCGAAAATGTAATACTTGAAGACAGGTTCAAAGTAGGCTCAGAAAAGAGAAAGAAGTCACTGAGGCTGCTACGTCCCCTGAGAGAATCTTTGCCAAGTTATTGAGTAACTTTTCCACCTGCCAAACGCCATCCTAAACATCTGGCAGACAGTAACGTAGTTAAGCTTCACATCAATCCCATCAGCCCTACTGTCGTCATCACCCCTGGGAGGCAAGAAGCAAAGCATATCAAAGCAGTTGCCCCAGGAGTGGTGCCAGCCCGAGGGCCCACTATGGGCCCAGGCGGCACTTTCAGTTCTACCTGGACCAGCCGGGAGGACAGACCGGTTGGAAGGACACGTGAATTCTGGGCCCTTCCAGCCTGCTCAGCTGTCACTTCAGGAGCCTACGTGCACTGTTTTCACAGAACTGACATGACAGAACAGCATCTGGCCTGGCCGGAGTGGCGCAGTTGGTTGCTGTTATCCCATGCACCAAGAGGCCTGGTTTCCAGTCAGGGTGCATGCCCAGGTTGTGGGTTGATCCCCAGTAGTGGGCATGCAGACCTCATCAATTCTCATCATTGGTGTTTCTATCCCTCTCTACCTCCCCCTTCCTCTCTCTCTAAAAAAATAAAAATAAAAAAATCACCATCACTGGGTTTGGCTCAGAGGATAGAGCATTGGCCTGTGGACCAAGGGGTCCGGGTTTGATTCCGGTCAAGGGCATGTGCCTTGGTGCACGCTCCTCCCTGGCCTGGGCCCTGGTCAGGACGCGTGCAGGAGGCAACCAATCGATGTGTTTTTCTCATATCAATGTTTCTCTCTGTCTTTCCCTCTCCCACTCTTTCTAAAAATCAATGGAAAGGTATCTTCAGGTGAGGATTTTTGAAAGAGTAGCGTCTGAGGCTTACTTTCCTGCTCCTGCAGCCTGTTTCCGGGCGACGGTGAAGGTGGAAGGGAGTGTGCACTTCTGAAGGCAGTGAAGCGCAAGGACGCCCACAGGCGAAACCCCGGCCTTGTGTGTGCCCAGACCAGGAAGCAGCTCTGCCCTCGCTCCTGGCGGGGGTGAGAGCATTGCTTGGTGCTGGGACCGGCGGAGGCCACTAGGAGCTGAGGTTTCCCATCCTCCCACCCCCCACCCCCCCGCCAAGGTTCAGGTTAAGGCATGTTGAATTGGACATGACAACTCACTCAAGTTGAGAATTCCAGAAACGAACACCATGAGTTAAAAAAGGAGCCACACCAACAGAAAGTAACGAGATTTATTGCCTTGAAGTGGAACGATTGTGGTCATGATAGAACGGCCACTGGCTCCCTGGGATGCAGGCCGGGGCAGCACAGCTCCAGCTGAGAAACCTGCACACACATGCACATGCACCGGCACACGGGCACACAGGCACAGCCCCAGGCCTTCTGCTCTGAGGAGGAGTGGGGCCGGGCAGGCCGTGAGGAAGGGGAGCAGCTCTGCTGGATGGCTGAGGTCAGGCATCAGACTCAGATCAGGAAGTCAGTCTGAGGAGAGAAGGATGGAAAAAGCCATCAGGGGGTCCCCTCCTCCCCAAAGCCGCCCCTCCCCACCACCACCACCCCCCCTTCCTCCGGCAGCAGGTCCGGCAGAAGGCGATCTCTCCTTGCCCATCATCTCCCCACCCTTCCTGCAGCTCCCATCACCCCTCTGCCCTCAAAGCCATCCCTGTGACCCCCAAGCCTGTGTGTAACCCGGACCCCAAGCAGGCGATGCCCATAGAGCCGATACAGCCTTGCCACCCAAGGGCCTGGGGCCCCTCTCAGTCCCCCTCAGGCCCAGGAGAATTCGGGCACCCCCACCCTGATGTACCGCCGGAGCACGGCTTCCGGAAGCGGATGATGAGGACCAAGCCAACGAGGATGCCCAGCAGGCCCAGGCCGAAGGCCACGCCGCACAGCACATTCTCCAGCAGGTGTGAGGGCAGCGCGTTGTGGGGCACTGGAGACAAAAGGGAGCGGGTGGGTCCCGAGACCTGGTTAGGGAGCCCCCACCCTGGGGACTATGCGGTGTCTGGGCTGGCGGGGGAGGGGGGGGGAAACTGAGGCGTGAAAGGGGGAGACTGGACTAAATAAGGCCCGAGCGGAGAAGAAGGCTCCGGGGTCTGTCCCCTCTGCCCCCGGAGGCAGGCCGGGCAGAGACTCTCACCCCAGTAGGCAATCGCTGTGTAGCCGTCAATCTCGTGGGTGACGATGCAGGAGAAGATGTCGGATGGCGCCGGGGTGACGTTTAGATAGGAGAAGGCCTGGAAGGTGAGCCCATCCAGGGCTGAGACGAAGGTGGGCCCGGCGCCCTCCACGGGGGCCAGGTGATGCTGCCAGGCCACCGTCAGTGAGGGGGGGAAGAGGTTGCTGACAAAGCAGACCAGCGTGTTGGGCTTGCCGAACTCCAGGGGCTGCAGCGTGAACACCTCAACCACAGGAAACCCTGGAGGGCGGGTAGGGGGACAGAGGGGACTCTTCAGGGAGCCTAGTGTTTGGAGGGGGCGTGGCACACGGAGGGGCGGGCTTTGGGGGGTCCGGGGGCGCTGGGCTCTGAGGTCTCCTAGGCATGAAGCAGAGCTGGACCCAGAGGCAGAGGCAGAGCCAGGCCGGGCCACTGCGGCCGCCCTGCTTCCCGCAGCTCCTCCTGTCCAGCCCCCTCCCTCCCCCCCGTAGCCTCCGACCTCAGCTGCTCCTCAGGGAATGCCGGCAGGGCCCCTCCATCTATCCTGCTGAGCACATCCCAACGCCCACGTCCCCTGGCCCCCTGCTCCCACTGACTTCAATCTAACACACCCTGGGACGCCCCAACCTAGGCCCCTGTCTCCTGACCCCACAGAGACCGGTGCAGCCCGTGGCTGGTAGAAAACCCAAGGGCCGGGGGAGCCCCAGAGCCCCAGAGGGGGGGGCTGGTGTGAGGGAACAATTCTGGGTATGGATTAATGAGGTTCCGAATGCAGCACCCACCCACCCCCAAAAACCCTGACCTCTAGACACCGGGATCTGCCCTTCAAGGTGTGGGCCTACTTCCTGGACCAAGGATTGGCATAACCCTTCGTCAAAGGAAATGGCGGGGTTATCTCTAGTCTGCTGCGCCCAGTCAGCAAATTCGGGCAGGCGAGGCACGCGAATGTTCTGGGAGAAGTCGAAGGAGAAGAGCTGGTCCTCGTCGTAGGTCTCGGAGAGCCCCACGCCCGGGCTCCAGTCCTGGCAGTACACCGTGTGCTGGAACGTGTGGCTCTGCAGGCCGGCCCGCCACCCTGCAGCTGCTGCGGGGAGACAGGCAGGGCGGGTCAGCCTGGGCACCGGAGCTGGGGGGACCCCTCCGGTGTCTCTTATCTGGGCTCACCCACCCCGGGGGGTGGAAAAGAAATCACTGGGATCTCTCCCAACTGCCTCTGCTGTCAGAAGGCCAACTGTCCGAGGCCTGGAGGTAACGGCTGCTGTCTAAAGGGTCCCGGTGGGGGCGGTGCGTGCACTACTGGCGGCTGAAAGCCAGCACACGCCCTGCAGGCAACTGCATCTGCCCCAGGGAGACCTTTATCTAATTCACCAGCCCCCCAAAAACGCTCCCCCTCACTCCACCTCCAACCTTTGCAATGACAAGACCAGGGAAGTGACCTCAGACCTGCAAGAAAGAAGCCCTTGTCTTTGAAACTTCTGGCAGAATTCCCCCAGCGAGCAGGAAGCCTACCCAATACCCAATACTTAGAATAATAGGCATTTTGAATAAGAGGAGTCTTCCAGATTATTCTTCCATCCTGCCCCATCCTTTTCAGAGAGGGAAATCAAGAAAGACTTTTCAAGAATTGCAAGGTGAGCTGATTCAAGGTGAGCTGGCCCAGTGTGGTGGCTCTTGCGTGGAGCCATGGAAATAGCATTTGCTTTGCTCCAATCCCAGCGCTACCACCTCCCACTGTGAACTTTCAGGAGTTACTCAAACTCCGAGCCTCACTTTCTTCATCTGAAAAATGGATACAATAATCTCTGCTTCAGAGGCTCTTACATGAAATGTAATAGTACCCCTGGCAGTTTGCCACCCAGCCCTTGTAGCTTTGTCCCAATTCTGCTGGTCTCCACTACCCGGCAGTCCTTCCAGCACTTACAGAGTGCCGGCTCTCCTCCAGGGCTCTGGGTGGGCACTGAAGCCAAGGGGAGGGGCTGTCCTACCTGGAGGGGCGGCCCCGGAGTGGGGCAGCAGCCACAGGAGGTGCAGCAACTGCAGCAGCGCAGGTCCAGGTCCGGGGTCCTGCTCAGGACCCATCCTTCACCCACACTGTAGGCAGGGAGTTGCCACCAGCTGCCCAACTCCCTCGCAGACCCTGTTCCGCCAGCTCACATCCAAAAGGGTCCCTGCCCCTTTGGCTAACCAATCACAGGAGGGAAAGCTCTAACATCACCAGTCGCCGGGGAGAGAGGCCTGGAGCCAGCAACCTCCGGAAGAGGGCTTCCCAGGCCAGAGCCGGGTGTGACTGGGCGGGGTAAGTGATCAGGGACGTCTGCCTCCTGGTGGGGCCCCTCCGCGCCTGCTCAGCCTCAGCCAGGAGTCTCACCCAGCCAGCGCCCGGGGATGAAGCTCCTCTTCCCGCAGCAAACCCCTGGCCCTCCGCGCTCCCCTCCCATCATTAGCTCCCGTGCGTTCTGGAGCCAGAAAATACAAAGGCGAATAAGACGTGTTCCTGCTTTCAAAGGGCTTAAAGTCTAGTCTGGGGAGAGGGCCAGTGAATACACACCCAACACTGTAACGTATTTAATTAAAACGTGCCCCGTGGTTCTGGAAGTAGTCATTGTATGAAGGTGAAGGAACAGGTGAGACACCTCCGGACGGCTTCTAAGACTCATGAAGAAAAAACGGTTTGACAACAGGACGTGAGCGAAGAGAAGAGCGTTCCCGGGCAAGGGGTGGGCACGCGTGTGAAGTCAGAGGCCCAGAGCTCCTTCCCGTGCTGCCTCGTGAAGCTGGAGTGGGTGTGTGGACACTGCTCACGCGTCCCTGTCCGGTCATGCAGGCCGAGGCGTGTTCACGTGGAGCTGGAAATGTGGGCAAGAACAGATCACAGAGCCCGGTTATGCCACAAGGAGGGCCCGGCTTCTGCTCGGCAGATGATGAGACAGTAAAACTGACGCGTGCACTATCATTTCCACCTTCACAAAGAGCTGTCCTGCTATTGCCAACAAGGACTGGAGCTTAGACAGAATTGAGGCAGAACTGCTGGCCACGAGTGTGTAGTGTATGAGATCAAAATAAAAAGTGGCACACACTCCGCCCTCTTGTGGCAACATAGCAGCGATCCAGGTGACAAACGTTCAGAAACTGAGTTAAGTATGAGGGGTGGAGATAGGGGAATCGAATCCTATATAATAAAGAGGAGATATGCAAATTGACCACCACTCCATCACAAAGATGGTTGCACCCACAGCTGAGGCCAAGTTCCCATAAGTAGCCTTAATGAGCAATCAGCAGGGACCTGAGGCTACTCCCTCCCCCACCCCCGCCCCAGCTCCGGCTTGACAGGAGACCTCAAGGTGCATTTCCAGTCCTGGTGCTGAGCTAGGGGACCTCAGGCCGCACCCTCCACCCCAGCACCAGGCCAGGGGACCTAAGACTGCACCTCAGTGGGGCTTGACATAGGACCTCAGGCTGCACCCCCTACCCCAGCACAGGGCCAGGGGACCTGAGGCTGCACCCTCTGCCTGGTTGGGCTTGACAGGAGACCTCAGGCTATGCCCCCCACCCAGTGGGGCTTGAAGGGGGACCTCAAGGTGCACCTCCAGTGCTGGGTCAGGGGAACTTAGGCCATATCCCCACCTATCAGGGCTTGACAGGGGACCTCAGGCTGTGCCCCCCACTCGAGGGGGCTTGACAGGGGATCTCAGGCCATATCCCTCACTGGCAGGGCTTGATGGAGGACCTCAAGGCATGCCCTCTGCCCCAGTCTGGGCTGGGGGACCTCAGGCCACACACCCCATCCTGGCGCTGGGTCAGAGGACCTGAGGCTACAGCTCCTCCCAGCAGGGCTTGACAAGGGTGGGACTGGCCGGGTCTGGATCTAGCCCAATGTGTGTGTGTGTGGGGGGGGGGGGGAGGCAAGTCTGGTCTCACACGATTTTGAAGTGCATGTGTGGGTGGGTGGGAACTTGACTCTGGGTCCCCTGGGGAGCCCCAGACTCTGACGGGAGAAAGGTTTTCATATACATTTTACTAATTTTCTTTCATCTCTGACATTTTTATCAAAGAGAAAGAGCAAATAGCAATATAAAATTATTTTCTCTAATTAATCCCCCTTTAATGTGCACAAATTTCGTGCACCGGGTCACTAGTATTGTGATAATTAGGAAGTAGAAGCTAAAGGGCTTGGCTACTGATTAGCCGAGGGAAGGTTAGATGGCGTCAGGATAACACCCAGCTCTCTGACTGGGTGGTGGGGTGAGTCACAATGGACAGGTTTGAGGTAGAAAAAAATGCCATAAACGCAGGTTTGATGAAGAGGAGAATGAATTTCCACTTTGCACGTGTTGACTTTGAGATGCCCGTGGAGTGAGGTTTGTGGATGTGGATGTCAGCTCTGGGCTGAAGGGCCTTCATTTGAGAGGCGTGCGGGTTGGAGCAGAGGTGGTGGACGAGATCACCCAGTGAACTGTGCAGTGAGGGGCGGGGAGAGGCACAGGACACGTCTGCACAAGCTCCAACCCCAAGCCTCACGCCAGCCAAGATCCAGGGTCCATCGGGAGCACATAGCCACGCTAGGTATTCCCGGCGGGGGTTTACTATCGAGAATCTGCAGCAAAGGCAAGAAGTACAAAAGGGAAACAGAGAGGGGCTGGGGGGCTGAACAAATGTTCAAATACTTGTCAGATGCCACTGGGCCGGAGCTGGAACCGTGTCTGCACCTCTGTTGCCCGGGGGACACCCAGTCATAGTCGGCTCTGGATCTACCGAAGCGCTGTCATCACCAGCAAGGCTGGCTCACCGAAAGGGTGCTTCCCCCGCCCAGCAGGCTCCAGTCCACACTCGCCTGTTCTTGCTGCTGCTGTCACTACCTGCTCCTGCGTCTGAGAGACAAAGCAGGAGCTTCCTGGTTTCTCCTGCCTGCCGAGCTCTCCCGTGGGAGCCAACTGGCCAGGAGGCTGGAAGCACATGCCCTGCAGACACGAAGCAGCCCAGAGCACCTGCAGGGGGGCGCCAGGTGCCCTCGGGACCTGCTAACCAGGGCACGGAAATGAAAGAGTTTGTAAGAACCTGGCAGCAGCAGGAGCATTCCGGAATGAGAACAAGGAAGACTCTGATGAAGAGAAACAGGCGTCCCAGGGAGCAGGGCAAGGCCAGCATTGCCGAGAGCTCAGAGGGCCTGGAAAGTGTCCTCCATTGGAGTACGCGCTGGTCGATGAATTTAGGGAGAGCAATGTCACCATGTGGTGGGAGCACTCCAGATGGCAGTGGGCTGAGAAGTGGGAGGCGAGGCAGAAGCTGTCAGTGTAGAGCTGCAAGTTCGCTGGAGAAGAAAGGAGAAAGGCAGAAGGGGTGGGGGAAGACGCGGGGAGAAAGAACTAATGTGGCAATTAAGTAATCTTAGAAATTAATCCATGTGAACATGGCCCATCTATGTTTCTGAGACTTTCAAAGTCCCTATTCCCTTTAGAAAAACAGATGACAGCAGTAACAGCCCCAAACAAAACCAAGCCCATGACCTCTGGGATGTGTGAGCAATGCGGGGCCGGGGGGGGGGGGGGTCAGGGTTAGGGCAGGGTTTGGAAACCACTGTATTACACTCGAAACACAGAGTAGTTCCCAATGTCCAGCCTTTTTTTTTTTTTAATAGAAAACTCCCATCTCTTTTTTTAAAATATATTTTATTGATTTTTTACAGAGAGGAAGGGAGAGAAATAGTTAGAAACATCGATGAGAGAGACTCATCAACCAGCTGCCTCTTGCATGCCCCCTACTGGGGATGTGTCGGCAACCAAGGTACATGCCCTTGACCAGAATTGAACCCGGGACCCTTCAGTCCGCAGGCTGACGCTCTATCCCCTGAGCCAAACCGGTTTCGGCCCAATGTCCAGCTTTGACACCCAGCTCTCCCTTCCTTTTCTCCCTGGCAAATCTGCTGAACAAGTCGTGGCCACCATCTCTCCCCTCTCATACTTGCCATTTAATCCTGAAGCCTCCACAATGGAATTACCACGAGCAGTTTTGTGTTGCTGAGTCACGTGGACTCTTCCCAGTCCCCAACATTTGACACTGCTGGCCGGGCCTCCTGCCTACGCTTCTGACATCAGATGGCACTCTCTCCTGTGCCCTGGCACTCTCTCCTGTGCCCTGGCGTGCACTCCTTCCTTCCTGCCACCCTTACCCTTTATGTTGGTGTCCCAGGAAGTGTGTTCTCAACCATCTCTTTGGCACTGTCCATGTCGGGGATGGCATTTACTCCCGCACCTCCCCGCACCACCAACAGAGCTGACCAACCTGCCCCTTTGGTCAGCTCTGCTGACTCACACCCCTTGTCCCCAGCTGCCTCTGCGGCTTCATTTGGATGTCGACAACAGCAATTTTCAGACTGTATTCCCCACAAAAGTCTCCCTTAAGAAATTTTAAAATGTATTTCAACACCAAACACATTTACATAATAATTATGCAATCATTTATTGCATTTAATAAGGTTCTTTTGGTTAGAAGCAATAGAAACCAATTCTGGTTAACTTAAATTTTTTTTAATATGTTTTTATTGATTTCAGAGAGAAAGGGAGGGAGAGCTAGAAACATCAACGATGAGAGAGATTGATTGATTGGCTGCCTCTTGCACACCCTACGCTTGGGACTGAGCCTGCAACCGAGGCATGTGCACTGACCAGAATCCTACCATGACCTCCTGGTTCACAAGTTGATGCTCAACCACTGAGCCATGCTGGCCAGGCCTAACTTAATTTTTTTTAAACAAGAGAATTGTATATTTCATATATATATTTTTAAAATATAATTTATTGATTTTTTACAGAGAGGAAGGGAGAGAGATAGAGAGCTAGAAACGTCAATGAGAGAAAAACATCGACCAGCTGCCTCTTGCACACCCCCTACTGGGGATGTGCCCGCAACCAATGTACATGCCCTTGACCGGAATCGAACCTGGGACCTTTTAGTCCGCAGACCGATGCTCTACCACTGAGCCAAACCGGTTTTGGCTATTTCATATATTTTTAATTTTTGTTTTATTTTAATTGATTTTTTAGAGAGAAAGGGAGAGAGAAAGTTAGAAACATCCGCAGGCA